GGGGGGGGGGGAGGGGTGAGAAATAGCGAAGGGGCAACCGAGCACGGTAATCGCGCGCAGATTGCGAGTCCGGGGCAAAGGCGACGGGGGCGGTGGTGCACTCGACGGTGTTGGCTCGGGTTTTAAAGGGTGGGAAGGATACAATATTTCAGAGTGGCGACAAGGAGCAAGCCTGCTCGCCACTGGCAAATTAATTAAATTCCTACAAGCTGCCTGGAAAGGCTAAGGGGCGCGGCGGACGAGCGGCGGTGGTCGGCGAAGCGGGCAAGGGTCCTGTGTTCCGCCCGTGGGAATATTGTAATTAAGATATGCACTTCTACCCTCCATTTTCCTCGTGCGCACCGGCAACCCCCTCAGACTACTACCGCCGCGCCATGATTTACGCTTCGTAGGACGCGGTGTTGTCTGTTTCGACCGCCGTCTAAATTGCATCCTATTATGGAGACGCCGCGTCGAGCCGCCGTCAGCCAGCCGTTTCTTCCGGTGTGTCGAATCTTGAAAGTTATTATGCCAATGAAATCCCAGATACGACATGCGCGTTCCGTCGAGAATAGCCGTCGGCAGAGCGGCTCGACGGTGATTCGCTCTGCAAACGCACGATACGTCGCGCAGAACTCGGCGAGCTCTAGAGTCCTTTGAATGCAGAATTTGGATAATCGTGATAGATTTTTTTGTCGGCTCCGGACTACTTTGAAGCTAAATGATGTAACGTAAGCTCTGCGGAAAAAATCAATATTTTGCCGGCAAAGTTTCCGACTATGACATCCCGTTAATACAATGTGTACATTCACTGCACAATCGCATTGCACGTTACGGTTTACCTCATAATAATAATCTCTGGAAACAAGGGGAAACTATCGACGTCATTTTGCCAGAGGCTGCTTTCCGAAAACTTCGCTACCAGTACTAAAAATCCGCGGTTTGTATTACGTATATTACAGATTTCCAGTACCGGCAGCGAATATCGGAACGCAGCTTTCTGTATTCAAAGGACTCTAGGCGAATTCGCGAGTTTTCCTCTCTCTCTCCTGGTTTTTCTGGTTTTTTTTCCTATGTTTCGTTTTTTCATGGCGATCAACACCGCTCCGAACAGTCGACGTATCTCGGCTCGGCGAGCGATGATTTTTATGAACAATTGATAGTTATTCGCCGCTCACGTCACGGCGTGCCGAGGTCTGTCGCACTTCGTGGTGCGTCAAAAGTTCGACATGCCGCCGCTCTCCAATCATGATTCGCGCCGTAACAATCAAAATTGACATCGCGACTATCATGCCGCGCACGTGCCAGTTACGCGATTTAAAATGCTCGGATAACGCGGTCCCTTCGCCGTTCCTTATGAGTAACGAGATCCCGCGCTAGCTACAATTATGGAAAGCACCACCGCCATAATTTTGTGCTTGATCCTGATGTTACCGCTGCTCATACAACTGCAGATGCTTGTCGTACGTGATCAAGATTAATTGATCGTAAATTGCACCTACGAATTGTTTTCGTCTGAGGGCAGTAATGATTTATTGCGCCGCGGGTATGTAGGTTAAATGCCGACCGANGGGGGGGGGGGGGGGGGGGGGGAGAGGAAAACAAACCCGCGTGCGTGTAAGAGGACACAATGCGTTAAAAAGCAGGAAACTAATTGAAAAAAACTGTCACGTCCATTAATCATTTTTATCCTATCTTTTGTAATATCGAAGCTAAAACGCTCCCACGCGCGTGCCCGCGGAGGGGGCAACGGAAAATTCTCTTTGTCCCGTCTCGGGTTCGTACACAGAGGAGAACTCGTATCATTTATCCAGTCCGCATTTATCCCGGTTGTTGCACGCGTAATCAGAGCACGGACGATTAAACGAATACGAACGGCAAAGCGCGAGGTCGCGGAGATTCGCCGAGTGACGCGAGTCAATATCTGTAGGCGACGGAGTCGAATGTCCGCTGCTGTAATGAGTACTCTAACGAGTCTGATAAACGTCCAAATAATTTCGAACGAAAACAAATAGATTCATATATACACACACGAATATACACGCGCCATTTTAATGCGCACTGTTACAACGCGAGTAGAACGTCGAATTAAAATATTATAATCTTGACGAATTTCCAAATTCGAGGTACGTATCTCAGAATATTTGTAAGGTTTTATTTCAATGTGAATCTTGAATTTTATCTGTTTTTCTGATCATTTTTTCATTTTAAACATAGGGGGCAAGAGATTGGCTACACTTGTGAAAGAATTTGGGTAATAATTACCAAACATTTAGTGGAATAGCTACCAAATAATTTAGTTACACGTATCATGCAACCGTACGATGGTGATGATGATGATGATGATTACACTAAATATTTGGTAATTGTTATCAAACTCTTTTCTTCAATGTAGACTGTAATAGCAGCTCCAAAGCTGATGTTATGCCAATTAGTCGTATATCATTCTTATGTATATTTCGAAATATAGTTCTAGAATTGTCCGTTAGCTAGGCATATGTATTGACCAATGAAACATTATTATTATTATTATTGATTTGCAGGTGCGTCCTCGGAAGTTACTCGAGACACTTCTTCGGCGTCACTTGACGGAGAGTGCGGGCAACATCCGGAGCAGCGAGCGCAACCTAGTCCAGCACTACCCCAAGTTGCCGGGCCTGTTAAATTCCAATTCGGAATCCAGGATGCTGGTGTGCCCGCTGAGAACGATCCTCTCGTCACCCGCTGTGCCGCCACGTGTCACGTCCGACGATACGTGCCGATACGAGCGGCTCGGTAGAAAAACGGCACCGCTGGTGCAACACTCGTCGTCCTACGTGGCGACGCAGATCGAGCTGCCGGTAGTGGATATCACCTGCAACTACAATTGTTATCGCTACAAGAGCTTCGAGGAGAGCCTGCGGAGGCGATACGGCGCGAATTATCCGCCGGGCGAGGTGGTGCTGAATTATATCCAATTAAACACACCGGATTCGCGCGTTAGTATGGCGGACGACGACGACCTCTTGGACGGCTTTGAGGTGGACACCGGCACGTACGCGTCGTCGGTGTCGACCAAGTTGGAGACCGAATATCTGAATCTTCTCGATCATTTCGTGTCGAAGCGGCGAGGCAGAGCTTCGACCGCCGGCAAGTTCACCGAGACTCCGCCGTCGGACGAAAGAAATCTCGAGATGTCGTCCCACGCCCCTGCGTCGAGCCAATCCACTCTGAAAGGTTCGGTCACTCAAGAAAAGGAATCCGGGTCGTCCGGCAATCAACGTTCTTTAAAAAGTACGAAATACGATGCAATCCGGGCGATAACAATTCGATCAGAAAACTTTTTGACAGTCAGGTGCTCGCTGTGTCCCCGGACCCGCATTTTGTAACTTTAATTTGCATCCACGCGACAGAATCGCGTCTCGTTCCCCCGCGAGGGGGACTCGCGTTTTGTAAAAATTCCACTGCCACGTGAGCCGGGAATCGTTAATTCGACCGATAGAAATTAGGGCTTAAGTTCGAATTTCTGTTCTTCGAAGCTTCGAATTTCTGAATCCTCGACACATCCTATTCGAGTAATGAAATTTTGAAGCGCGACAATTCAAACTGTCGAATGTTCGAATATTTGGAACTTCGGCTGACCTTTTCTTTCGCTTTTAAGATTCTAAATAAGTCAGTAGACTGCCGCGACTTACTAGGTCGGTTTAAACTTTCGATTTAACATTCCGGAAGAATCCATTCGATTCAAGAATTTTCAGACATTTCCCTATCTTTCATGTGGATAAATATAGGACTCTTCTATGCCAATTTTAGTTGGTACCGGTAGTCCGACATCCTCGGTGGTAGACCGTCATTATTTAAACGTCTTCTAACTTCGGCCCTTTCATTGTGACATGACTTCTTTTAGACGAACGAATACATTAGAGACACATCGAGTAGCGCGACGGAACCGGGCCCATTTTCGATTTACGATTCCACCGCTTCTCGGGCCCGCTTGTTGTACACCGAGATAATCCATTCCGAGATAATAATCGCGGGCGCGCATATATACACACACCACGGTCCTCCCGAATATTGTTAACACGCGTCGAGCTATTCCTCCGCACCGCCTTACATGCCCGTCATTACCGCGGCGCGTCACGTCGTCGCCTGAATACTAATAGACGGGGCTATACGTACGGGGAGCGTGCATTTGGCTCGTCATTCGAGGAATCGTCATCGTCCTCGCTCTGAATAGGGATCGGTAATGGATAGCGGGGGCCGCCCCCGCGGGATAGCTCTCTAGGAATCGCGTCTATTTATTGATCGCCCCCGTGCATTGGAATATTCAATCCGTCTCTCAGACTACGGGGCGGCGAGTACACGAGACGGGCGCATCTCTTTCCGTCACGTCGGTAACTCCGGCCATTTCCCTCCCTCGCGTAGATCTCCCTCTTGGACGACTTTATCCCTTACAACTGTAAGTAGCCTTCGGTGTCGCGTTATCTATTAATGCCTTAAACAGATTGAGACGCTCGAGGCGTCGTCGAATAATTCGTCTTAAGCAGCGACCGGATATCTGTTTCATTGATAGCCCGATCGAACAGATCGCAAGTACACATCGGTTATATTCAGCCGCCTTTCCGGGAAAATCGCATTTTCCAACAATACCGTGGAAATGCCCGAATTAATCTTCCAGACGGTAGACGGTTACGGATGATTATTGATGCGACGCGCCGCTTTAGATCGCAGAAATTTAATCCCACGTAGTTATTTATTTACGCACAAGAGAAAAAGATTCAAGTGAATCATTACTCCGACACTCCTCAGCACATTTTTATTCGGATTAAGTTTATTTTACTCAGACCAGGTAAATATATATTTTATTTGAATAATTTACTTGGGAAATATGTTTTACTTGGATCGGATAATATTTACTTGATCCAGGTATAATGTTTATTTACTAAGAATATTGGAATAATTATTTACTCGAATCTAGTATTTCTTTTTCCGTGCGCAATGGCACGTATTTCCGTTATTTCCGTAATTGGCACTGGCGTACCCAGTGAGTTCTTACGCCCACCGCTAGTGTATCACACGGTAGGATAACGATCCGAACTTCTCAAGGTATTGAATACAATCAAAGCGGCGGCGGCGGTGCAAATAGACGTCCCGACAGCTCGCAAAGAGTGCTTAAGCGACGGTGAGAAGCGTTCGATCGAGGGATAGACGGTAATCTCATCCGTGTGCGGGGCCAACCAGCTATCTGTCATGAAGTCGGGGAAAACACACCGGGATGGTAAGTTTAGCGCCGGTAGATAAAAGTATAGCGCGGTTCTGGCTGTGCTATTAGCTCTTAGGTTAAGCCGGAAATTCCAGACCGGAAGCTCGAGGCCGCGGCTAGGGCAGCTCGTGAGAAAGAGCATGGTCAGCGAGAGCCGACCTAGGGTGGAACGTACGGAAAGGTCCTGGGGAAGGAGAATGCTGCGGGACGGAAGGGTGGATGTGGATAGAGAGACTGTTGCGTGAGAGGGAGAGAGATACGGTAGCGGTAGAAGAGAATTGATCGAGATTTACTCTCGTGTGAATACGCCGAGTCGAGCGATTCGGTTTGTTTGTTTGGCGCTTCTCGCGGATGTTCGCACCGGGATTCGATTGAAATTATCGCGGATAATAAGCCAATGTCGCGAAGGACTTGATCGTCGAAAATCTAATCGAACAGACACTGGCGTAAGCGAGCGTTTTCAGCGCTCGGATTCGTCGTGAAACGAGGTCTGATCGAATTTCTGGTAAAAAGGAAGAAAGAGAGGGCGAGAGACTCGGGAAAACATGTAGCTGGCGACAATAGGATTCCGCGACAAGTCGATTTGTCGTAGAGTCAAGTTCGCCGACCTGTCATTTGTTGCCGTTACNCCCCCCCCCCCCCTCCCTTTCCGTTTTCCGAGGATGTCCATGCGACATCCGAGCGATTCGATCACTCTAGCGAGGATTTCGCCGCGATGGCACGACGATGATGCGACGGTAATTCGAGGCACCATTCGACGCATTCGCATTCGAAACGCGCGTTAGACCTCCCAAGAATAAGACGCCCCCGAGTCTACCTGGACTCCATAAAAAGCGGAATTTACTCGAGTTGAAATTTTAGTTCCACGTGAACCCTCCGCAAATTCCGTCGAGCTTGAACAGCTAATAGAGAGAATCTCGAGATATAACACTGTGCAGGTTATTGTCTTTCAAGGCAGTCGGCCCGTAAATTAATTTTCTTAGGAATTTACAATTTTAATAGCATATCAATCGAAACACGATCTATACATATGCAAAGTTAAAAAATGATTGGTCGCATCGGAGCTGCGAATTAAAATCAAAGTTAACACTATTTACAGGTATCACAGGCACGAAAACGGCTTCCGATATCATATTTTTAATTCCAACAAACCAAATTGCTCTCACTCGGTTTTTATGAAAAACTAGGAGACGATAAAAAAGACAGTGTTGAAATATTATTAAAAAATTACAAGGTCGTTAATCATCGAGTTTTTTACAAATTGATAAGTATACAATTTCTCTCAGAGAAGGATAACAGTTGAAGTGTATATCTTAATAACTATCTTAATAACATCTAAACTTGTAAAGATTTGGCAATATTGTACATGCTATATTTCCATTTGTGTCTCTCCTCTTTTTAAAGATAGAATATTTGAACAACCTGAAAAATCTATTATCAATACATAAAAATAGATACAAAAAGATACGGAAAAATTCGACGTCACGGTCAATTTTCTAATAGCGTGCATTCGTGTCTATCGGAGATATATATGATATATTCATAAATATATAGCTAGTACGGGCAGTCCCAACCAAAAATAGTATACGTCAAAATGCGGAAAACGATTATCTCTTTATTAGTTTTTAAACGTTACGTAAGTTTGATCGATATTCCTTTGCTATAATATCAAAGTTATATCATAAATATATTAAATATCATAACTCATGTTTATAATCATTTAGATTTGTCGAGTTTCTTCATATTGTATTAACCATTATTTTTCTAACGGTATTGTCACAGGCTAATTATTTTAATGCTACAATACGGAAGAGATTTTTTAAACAGAAAGTTTATCGTGTTATTTATATATATTAATTATTCATTATTTATTTGTCGCATATATTCTCTTTGCAATTGAATAAGCCACAATTAATACACTGTTTATTTAAATTGAGATTAAAAATTAAATCCAGGTAGAATATGGAGATAATCGAATTATCAAATAATAAGGAATTATTCAATAATTCTCGAACAAATGTTCTTCGAGCCTGAACATGGAGAAAGTAACATTCAACAACTACTGCGTCATCAAACTAGGACAATAGTTTGTATAGCGTTACAACTCGAAACCCTCCATTGATCCTTCAAGTTCGGCGGTATTTGCAGGGTTACTGTAGAACCAAAATTTCGACTCGGGTATATTCACGACAACAATGCACGACACGAAGGATGTATACAGAGCGCGTTAATCTTTTTTTTTATCGCGTCGGTTTACTTACTCGAGATTCTCAGCAGACGACACATTGAACAAGTGCAGGTCAAACGGTGGTGACGTGGAGTGTGCGGAAAGATCGATGGCTTCTTTAGAATCGAAAGAGAAGACTACTGGCGGAGAGGATACCGTCAAATTGACTACGACCCTACCTATTTTTTGTACACGTCCCTGATTTATCAACTTATGCGGCACATAAAATACATAAAATAAGAAAAGGGTAATTAAAATGTGTATCAAGTTTACTCGACTATTAATAATTTTCTCGCGATTTACAAAGCATCGTCCCCTCGTTATACATGAATTATTTCTACAAAAGAACAACCGTTATTCGCGGTACATGAAAAGATATTTCAACGATATAAGCTAAAATGCTAACGTGGAAATCACCTGGTTAGAACAAGGGGTTCTAGGTCGTTGGTTCTCTCTGGACTCTCATGAGTCGAACTGAAATGTCAACGTGCGACGTTTACGTTGACTGCTTTTAGCTCCGACATTTATATTCATCGGTAACTTTGATTGTGCGCCGTAGGAATTGAAAATGGTTCCCGAAACGAAGCAAGACGACAGTAAAACTTCCACGGGGACGTACTAAACGGGCAGGGAAAGAAGAGGGAGGGAGAGAGGGAGAGCGAGAGACAAAGAGGGTTGTGAGGGAAAGAGCAGGATAGACAGATAGTGAAATAGGCAAATCCCATGGCACTCCATCCCACTCTGGCAGCGAGTCTGCCAGGCACTAGGGAGAGAGTGGGCCCCTGTTATACCGGAGCTTTTATTTCCGAAGCATCGATCTCCATAAAGTTGCTGCCGCGAAATGAGTTCCTGCGGTCTTCCTGGAGCTCTCCTAAAGCGCTTTGCACCTGCGGAGATATCCAAAGGACGCGCGCGAAAGAGAGAGCACGTGTGTATGTGCAGTTGCATTTAATTAAAGAATGCAAACCAGCCGCACACAGCTACGTGTATAAATAACGTCCTCTCGTCTCATTCCTTATAAAATATGCGATGCATTTTTTGTCTCCCACGGAGGGCAGCTGACGCAATTACTGGTTGTCCACAAACTGTTGAAATAATTGGGGCAAGTTGACACTTTTGTTGAAAATAACCCGTATTAAATTGATACGCTCGCTATCGGTAAATAATGCGCCGTTCACTATCGTAAGTGAGACTCACCAGAGACCAGCGTCACATGTGTATAACATATTATGTTATTATATTGTATAAAACACTTTATTTGAGTATTTATTATATTTTATACGCGGATAAATGCAAACGTGCTCTATATAAAGAATGTCTGTCGCTAAATGGAACATTCGTCAGATATTTGTAGTTTAGGTCGGTATGAACAAAATATTTGC